ATTAAATCATCATATTGTGGTTCGAACAACCAATGGTAACACAGCTCCTCGGTATTGTCACGCAAAGAAATTAAATTCTCAAAAAATTTCATTGACTTTGAAGGCAAAGCGCAGTGAGTTTTCAAAGGAACAAGGGTTTGTTTTCACCAAGTGCTGTTGCCAGGGGTGGTTGTTAGGCATTACCAAATCAGTCTTTAGTCTTACACTTACCTCTATATGAATTAATCGGCAGATTGCAAGTTGACAGTTTGTTACAGTACGGACACACTTGCCAGAGTCCTCAATCCCTTGTCTAATTCCCTTCAGATACGGCCCGAGGGAAGGGTTGATAGGGGGCTCTGCCTCCAGCGCTCCTAGGAAACATTGTCTTCACCTCATATTTATAGCAAGATAGAGCTTTGGAGGACTAAGTGGATGTAGGCACTAAGCGGCACTTTCTGCAATCTCTTTCCTTTATTTATAACATTATTGTTTGTGTCTGCTGATTATTTGTTATACCAATAACTACAATTTTTTGGCCTCTAGAAGAATATAATTTTCAATTTCCTCTACCTTAGTACATCTATACTGTAAAGATGTGGCTCCTTCACATCTATTGGCATCAAAGATAAGACCAACAAAGTTCCGCCTTGTATGATATTGAGAGATAACTTACAGAACTCTCTGTTGAATCTCTACAATCTGAAATCATTTGGTAAAGGTTTTATGGCATTAGATGAAACACCAAAAATGTGTAAACTAATGGTTCTTAATCTAGGGGGCATCAGTATTTCCCAATGGGATCATGAACCCTTAGAAAAAGCAAGAATTTCACTTAATTTTATTTGTTATTCTCTTAACAAAAGCATGGTCAAATAATAATTAGGTTAGTAAAAATAGGACTCATTCATACTCAATAAAAAGAATTTCCTTTAAAATCTGGGAGAGATTTTTTTTCATAGATGCAGTGGGGGCATGGAGGGAAAGAGCAATTTCAAAAGCAGGCATAGTAGCAAAGACATTAAAAATCACTGTGTTGATTCTATGTAGGCTAATTAAACTACTGTGGAAAGACAAATAAAGAAAAGGTTTGAATTTCTTTGGGGAACAAAACAAATATAAAATACTTTTGTTGTGTCTTACTGAAAATATTATTTTCTTTGCAGCTTTACAAATGTGGGTGTTTGTTGGAGTTGCGTGGAGAACTCTGCGACCTGGATGTTCTCACACGCATGCTCAAGGTGGTGGACAAGAGGCATCTCTTGCACCATTGCTTCCAGGTAAGAGCTCTCTCTCTCTCTCTCTCTCTCTCTCTCTCTCTCTCTCTCTCTCTCTCTCTCTCTCTCTCTCTCTCTCTCTCTCTCTCTCTCTCTCTCTCTCTCCTCTCTCTCTCTCTCTCTCTCTCTCTCTCTCTCCTCTCTCTCTCTCTCTCTCTCTCTCTCTCTCTCTCTCTCTCTCTCTCTCTCTCTCTCTCTCTCTCTCTCTCTCTCTCTCTCTCTCTCTCTCACTCTCTCTCTCACTCTCTCTCTCTCACTCACTCAGTCTTTCTCTGTCTTTCTCTCTCTCTATTGCAGTCTTTACCTCTCTCTCTTGCAGTCTCTTTCTCTCTCTCTTGCAGTCTCTCTCTCTCTCTCTCTCTTGCAGTCTCTCTCTCTCTCTCTCTTGCAGTCTCTCTCTCTCTCTCTCTCTCTCAGTCTCTCTCTCTCTCTCTCTCTTGCAGTCTTCTCTCTTCTCTCTCTTGCAGTCTCTCTCTCTCTCTCTCTCTCTCTCTCTCTCTTCTCTCTCTCTCTCTCTCTCTCTCTCTCTCTCTCTCTCTCTCTCTCTCTCTCTCTCTCTGTCAATGTAAGAGTTGGGGGGCGTGGAGGTGGTGGTGAATGAAAGGGGACTTGCTTGAGGAGTTTATTGGGGAGGTAATGCTTGGCCCCGAGAGTGACCCCGCGCCCCGAGGGCCGAGGGCGGCCTCCTGCCCTATGACTCCTGCTAGGTCTTGATCTGCTTCTGGTGCTCTCTCTCTCTCTCTGCCTGACGAGACGTCCTTATATCCAGCGACTCCTTGTCCTGCTGGCGAAGGTGCCTGGTACCCAATTCTTTGGGTGTCCATTTTTCCGGGCGTGTCGAAGGGCCGGAAGCGAAAGTCTTGGGCTGGCAAGGAAGGTGCAAAGCCAGGAAGTAAGGCAGCTGCAATGCCTAGGTGTGAAGCCCAACCCATCCGTTTTCCATATTGCTGACATACCGCTCAGCTACGCAAACGGATCGTCCTCGAGCCGTCCACAGTGTCCTATGCACAGATGGCGCATCTGGTGGCAAGCTCCCAATATGCTTCTACAGATGGTTGCTGGTGCTCTATGGTCCCTTAGGTCATCGTGTGTCAGGGTAGCAGTGAGGTGCAACATTCGGTGGTGGTGGTGGGGGTGGGGGGGGGCACATCGTCTTCAGGAGCTGAAATATAAGTGTACCAGGCCAGTAAAAAGGGCTAAGGAGGAGGATGGTAATTTTACTTGTCAGTACCTTACTAAGATGCCAGAAAATGAAAGCAATAAGAACATTTTTGTAGGGAGAAAGTTGGTGAGCGAGAATTCCTTATCTTTGGCCTAAATAGGCTAGTAACAATGCTTCGGACACTTAAAGTAACGTGAGCTTCTCGGCGCTGTAAAAAAATTAAGCGTGGCAACGGCGCGATGGCCTCATCAAGAAGTAACGGGCGCATCTCGGACGCAGTGTGACATAAGTCTGAGAAACGTGCAGCAAGGCGCAATTCGTAGGCAGCAGTAAACGTGCGCATCTCGAGTGCAGTAAGTACGAGTAGCAACATTCGGCGAGCACGATTCCTTCGTAGGAGATTCAATGGCGTCTGGGCGCGATTTCTTTGTAGTAGACATTATAGCTTAAAACTAAATTGCGGTGATAATATGTAAGCCTATATAAAGCATGGTGTCTGCATTGCGTAACCCCTATTGCAACAGATTTCGACTCCATCAAGTTAGTTACAAGTTACATATTCACCAAAACCTTAAAACTAAAGAAGCATAAATCCCAGCAGTACTAACGATAAGGTATCGAATATTGAGAGTAGACCATTAAAGCGAGTTAGAATCAGTTATAAAACATGGTACTTATTACAAATAATCCTAGAGTGAATTCATGTAGAGTGGTCAAATAGGTGAGTAAAGGGTCGACATGTATGTGTGAATAAGCGAACAATTACTGCGGCAAGTAAAGGGAAAGTGATTTTCAAAACACACCACATATATAAATTCATAGAATGAAAGTGAAATGCAAACAAGAACAAAGGAACTACTGATAAACATAGCATATAAAGTGAAGCAAAGATTACTGTAAATTCTCAACAATAGACGCGAATAATATATGTCGGAAAACCGATACATTACGATAATTAAATAAATTGAAATATTTGTTCTGAAAAAATAAAGCATTATGCAATGTGAAGACAACAATAATACGATAGTTGGAAAGACACAAATAACACAACAATATACATCAATTAAAGAATGATTAGGATGGGGGAGTGAGGTGGTCACAGTGACCACAGTGTGTAACTTCGTTGTGAGTTAAAACAATTATTAACAGTGAGAAATTTTGTAATATAGAATTAGTAGTTAAGAAAAGGCAACTTATATGTAAGGTGTGGGTGGGTTTAGGGAGGGCGAATAGTTAAACTTGCACTAAAAGAGAAGAGGTACACTTACTCAAAAGTAGCGAGAGAGTATCGGTGGTGTAGGGTCGAAGTGTGATTTCATGGCTTGTGCTGACGAAGGTTCGCGAAGACTTGGCGAGGTAGGTGAGTCGGTTGGCGAGAGTGGTTTGGGGAATTCATCTTCAGCGACTTCGTCGGGAGCGTAGAACAGGCGTGGGTTGTCAGCATGACGTAGTGTGGCAGACATGGTGTGGATCTTGTTAGCGATGGCTGGCGTTAAGGCGAGGGGGCACTTCGGCAGGAGCTTCTGTCAGGAACATTTGGCATTGTGAAGTTCTTCCAACGCTAGTCACCAGATGTCAACGTAAGAGTTGGGGGGCGTGGAGGTGGTGGTGAATGAAAGGGGACTTGCTTGAGCAGTTTATTGGGGAGGTAATTATGTGACCCCACGAGAGTGACCCCGTGCCCCGAGGGTGGAGGGGATGAGAGTGTCCTCCTGCCCTATGACTCCTGCTAGGTCTTGGTCTGCTTCTGGTGCTCTCTCTCTCTCTGCCTGATGAGACGTCCTTATATCCAGCGACTCCTTGTCCTGCTGGCGGAGGTGCCTGGTACCTTATTCTTTGGGTGTCCATTCTTCCGGGCGTGTCGAAGGGCCGGAAGAGAAAGTCTTGGGCTGGCAAGGAAGGTGCGAAGCCAGGAAGTAAGGCAGCTGCAATGCCCAGGTGTGAAGCCCAACCCATCCGTTTTCTATATTGCTGACACTCTCTCTCTCTCTCTGTCTCTCTCTCTCTCTCAGTCTCTCTCTCTCTCTGTCTCTCTCTCTCTCTGTCTCTCTCTCTCTCTCTCTCTCTCTCTCTCTCTCTCTGTCTGTCTCTCTCTCTCTGTCTGTCTCTCTCTCTCTCTCTCTCTCTCTCTCTCTCTCTCTCTCTCTTCTCTCTCTCTCTCTCTCTCTCTCTCTCTCTCTCTCTCTCTCTCTCTCTCTCTCTCTCTCTCTCTCTCTCTCTCTCTCTCTCTCTCTCTCTCTCTTTCTTTTAAATTCTCAAGATGTTGTATTCATGCTAGGACTTTATAACTAGAATGATTTTGTATTGATATTGCCATCCACAGTTCTCCATTTCTTCAAAATTGAAGTAGAAATATTTTATTTGGTTTAGATTTATTTTATCTATTGTTCAACTCATTTATTAACCTTTTCAGACAAAACTATCTACTTTTATATCCAACAAACAAACAAAACAATTACATACCTTTACAGGAGAGCGTCGTTATTGAAAATGATAATTCCGATTGACTTGGTAATCATTGAATCGCAAAGTACATTAAATAATTTTTTTCCTATAAATAACATCATTATATTTAGAGGACAATAACCCAACTTTGGCAAGTGTGCAACAGGAACAACGAAGGGAAGGGCAAGAAAACACACAAATATGCCGAAGGCCTTTTTGCTAATGCTTCGTCAGGGTATGACGAAGCATTAGCGAAAAGGCCTTCAGCATATTCATGCTGAATTTTCTTATTCTCTCTCCTATTCTTTTTATTATTCTAACTATTTTATTGTTTTATTATTATTTTTATTATTATTATTATTATTATTATTATTATTATTATTATTATTATTCCAAGAATATTCATCAATGAATATTCTTGCTCTTCACTTCGTTGTCCCTGTTGCAATCTGTTTATCATGAATTCTTCACATTTGGCAAGTGTCCAAGATATAAAACGCTGTATCAACATTTTTGTTTGCATGACCTTTGGTACATTCCAACTCTCATAATTTTCATGCGATCCAAACCCATTTACACTCCCTGAGGCCGTTTAAATCACCAATTTTTAAATTTTGGCCTTAATAAAAAAAATATAAATTTTTTAATGCTGAAAAAACAGACCAAAAATAGGAATCTATGTCAACTAGTCCCTCACCCCCCAAAAAAGGAAATTAAAAAATCAGCTATTTACACGACCTTAGGCTAGGATAGATCTAACATATAAATTTTGGGGGGATTGTTCAGGAAAAAAAAAATGGGAGTTGGTATGTATCGAAGAAGAGTTTTTTTTTTTTTTTAACTCCCCCCCCCCCCGTATAGGGGTGCAAGGTCATAATTATTTATGAGATGAAAGACAATTCTATACTCTATTTTATGCAAAAAGAATCAATGAGTTACCTCTAACTGATTTTTTTTTTTTTATGATGAAATGAGCAGGGAAAGATGGTCATTCCCCGGGACGGTCTCCTTAACCCATTTACGATGGGTGTCCCACATATGAGACGCCTGGAAAAATAAGCATTACTAGGCCAGTGTGACGGTGAATCGGAGCTTGAGCTCTGATTCTGTTGCAGGCCGTGACAGATCCTAGGGCAGTCCCGCGCAACGATTTTGAAGCGGCCTGAAAACTGTTATTTTCGGCTTCAAAATATGACGGCGTTAGTGGGTTAAGACAACTTAGTTTATGACCAAGTGTGCCTATAACCCATACACAGAACAAGGGACCAGCCATATTCGGACTAGTTAATACATTGTAGGCTAAGGAAGGGGGAGAGCAGCCCTAGCAAGTTGCAGTGAATCATAAATAACATTTTTTCATCTTTAGAACAATTAATACAGCCTTAAAATTTGTGTTTTGCTCAATTATATTATTATTATATGTGATTGAACTAGTCGTGGACAAGGAAATAATGCTGTAAGTGTTATATTCCAATATACCTTGTGATTTACCTTTGCCAATTGGTGTGGGTCTCACTCCAGCCCAAATGTTGAAGTTGTAAACAAGGGATTACACTAAAACTAGTACCGTGTTTGCCTCAGATGTAATAGTTTTACTCATATATCTTTATTGTTATTACTGTAAATGTCTTTATTTTCATTATTGTTAATGTAGTTTGTGGGTTAGTGGACATCATGATGACACAGAAAAAGGAGATTACTTTACATATACAAACGTAGGTAAGACTAATACCTGTTCCAAGTGGCAATTAGTATGAAAATTCAAAGCTGATATTATTCTTGCAATATTATCCATCCTTTCAAGCAAGGTATTGCCCTTAGGGAGGCAATACTTTGGTCCTAAATTTCTTTTTGTTAATAAGATCATTCTTTTTCATTAGTAATTTTGCATATTGCTGTGTTACTAATTCTAGAACTTATAAGTTAAAAAGTTTCATTTTGCCACGGATGGGATACAGTGTTGTGTTTACAAACTCAACTGATCAGCATTTACGGCTTGTGATTACTCAAGATTCCGTAAGAGCTACCTGAAACAGTTTGTGCTTGGCCATTGAAGGTCTGATACTGTAAGTGATTTGTAGTGGTGCAGGGTTTAAGGCAGGGATACGGCGCTGGAAAAAACGTTTGTGTATATGAAGCTAAGTCCGTGATATGGCGCCCTAGGCTGGCCGTGACTTAAGGGGACCGTCCCTGGCAGTGGATGGGGCGAGTCGGGGATTTTGGGTCGGAGTGGTCGAAAAATGAGTTATGGTCAGTTTCATATTCGTAAATGAGAGTAGAATTACTTGTGTAAATATGAAATTCCGCGGCAAAAAATTTGGGCAACGCACAAGGCCAGACACCTGAGTCCCATTGCCGCTGTGTCAGTGATTTTCACCCTTCTGCACTCTAATATGATGCATTGTATTATGACATTACCTATTGAAACGGATCACAGGAAGATAAAAGTGTCTTATTATAACTGTCATATCCCAAAGTGAAACATTTATGATATGAAAAACAAAGAAAAATAAAAAATCATTGCACAAGTTTTTCAAATTTCTTTCCCATGATATAAAGTAAATGTTTCGATTTTGACTTATTCATTATACAAGTATGTTCAGGGTTCGATGAAAATGCATGAGTAGTTACAAGTCTGTATCTCCAAATATAAACTCACAATGAATAGATATTTACACAGGCTGGGCTCTCGCCCAAGTCAACGACCGTTCTGGAGGAATGAGTTCGAAACGTTGCCACCGCCTTAGACTTTTCTGATTGTAATAATTTTACGTATGTGCTTTCATTTGAAACTAAATAATCGGTTAAACATCATTAAGTCATTATAATTCCATTTTACGGAAAAAAAATAATGTGAAGAAAGAGTATGATATGATAATTTCCTGCAACTTGTGAAAATCGGCCTACAAATATCGGATACCTATTCTTACATAAAAAAATGATAAATGAATAAAGAATATAAGAAATTTGTATTTCAAAATATTTAGATCTATCAACGGTTTCTGAACGGTTATTTTTAACAAACAAGAAACAATTTATTGTCCCTCCATAAGTACTTCACTTGCGACTCGACGTTTATCGCTTGTTTTGAGGCGGAATCACGTTTTTAGAGAATGCGGGAAGAAAAATAGACTGGAATAACAATAGAGTAAATAAATTGAATAAATAATAATGGATATGATGGGTATATGCGCATATACGCATATAGATGTGCAGGAAAATGTACCTTTACAATAATTCACATGTGTATAAAATTGTAAAGGAATGTATACATAAGAAAACATTAATAAAAGAAGTATAAAACACGAAACAACCGATTTTATATAATGGTCACGTTGTCTTGGGTCTGGATTTGCCCCTTTTCACGGGAGTCATTTGTTTGTTTGTTTCTATAACTCGGAGACCAATGATCATATCTTTACCTAACAAAGTGCATTTGAAAGAGAAATAATAATAGTTTGTACAGTAATGAAATGGTAAAGATCCATAAATGAAGAAATATATAAAATGATCTTCAAATATCCAATTTTTTGTTTGTTTGTTTTTGCGATGTTTCTCTTTTTTGAGCTTTAGAAGAGTTTTTATCTTTTTAAAATTTTGGATATATCTTTGGAAACTGTGTGCAAAATGTGCAGACATTTACGTATCAGATTTTTTGAGATGTTGCTTACTTTTTTATACAAATTTTTGAAAATCAAAAAAAGAAAGTGAAAATTATTTTTTTAAATATTTTTCTTTTTTTCTGAAGAAACATTCAAATTTCCAAAAAAGGATTTGTAAATGTCTTAGGAATTCATTGATGTTCATTCACATTTTTTTTCATGACTTAATTCATAATCCTCTGGGACAAGGATTCTTCTGCGCAGACACATGTGAAAAAAAAAAATTTAAAAAGTTTTTTTGCAGGGGCCATCGCCCCCCATGTGGGAACCCCCATAAATTTGGTATCAAAAGATGCATGTTATTGAAAGACATCAAATATCAAAAATCAAGAAAATCCAAAAGACCATTTGTTTTTAGAAATACTTACCAATATGACCCCCCCCCCCCTTAAATTAGGCCCGCCCATTTAGGGATGGTCCCCTTAAGGTGCCGCAGAACAGTTAATGTCTCTAGCGCGCCTTAATCTTAAGGCTCTTTTGAGTATCAGGCCCCAGGTCTGGTTACATAGGTTCTGTTATCCCATTAGCGACGGGTGTCCCATATATGAGACACCCGATAAAATAAACATTGCCGGGCCTCCTGCCAGTGTGACGCTATATCGGAGGTCTTGCTCCAACGCAGCAGCGGGCTGCGGCTGGCAGCTGGATAGACTCCGAGGAAGCTCCGCCTGTCGATTTTGTAGCCACCCGGAATGTTATATTTTTGGCTGCAAAATATACAGACGTGAATGGGTTAATTGACTCCTAGGTAGCTAAACACCTGTGGAGCCATCTGCTTGCTATGAAATTAAAAAAAAACTATTGTGGACAATCCTTGTACCAACAGCCAATGAGTTAATTTAGAAAATGTTCTATCCCTTAGCAGTTTGAATCCTGATTCTCAGGAGTTGCATTTATTCACAAAATTTGGATGCTTATGCAACTTCTCTGTCTGTCTTTATGCCAGGGATCTCAATATGAACTATAGAAATGAATAACACCATGTTGAAATTGCTCTTTGCTTACCTAAGCTACAAATAGCTGTAAGTGTTTGACTTTGATAAGGCACCATTTTTCTTGGGTAACCATTAATGTTGTCCTTTGTCAAATAAAGAAAAAATAAACAAAATAGGAAATACGTTCTCTTGTATTACCTATTGTATTTTCATATTTTCCCCACAGGCCTTGATGGACCAAGCACTTGCAGATCACAGCACCAAAATATCCACAGTATTATCACAAACATATGTGCAAAGATGTAACCAGGTGTCTTCTGAACAGCAGGTGAGTTCAATTAATGCTTGTGTTTGTTCTTAGGACTGAGGCTAAGAATATGCATATGTGCAAACTATCATCTGAAAGTATAATGAACAACAAAAGTCTTTTCTAGTCAAGTTAACAAATGTAAATGGCAGGCTAATGGTACTTTGACCACCAACTAGGAGACAAAATAATTAAAACTTTTTGCATAAGTGCATAATACTTAATTTGTTGTT